ATGAGGGAACTGAGACATGCATTAATTTTATTTTTCCCTCTCCTAACCCCCTCTTTCAAATTCCAAATCTGTTTTCTACTCCTTAAAGGCCTTGTTTTCAGGTAATAAGGAAACAAGGCACTAGCCTTTCAAATTTTTGCTGATAGTGGTTTAGTGAACTAATCCTGCTAGGAACTTTGGCATTTTAAAAGTAGACTCCAAACTTTCAAATGACAAAGACATTTTAAGAAGTGAATGACAGCCAGAGGGGTGTGGTCAAGGTTAGGAAGTTCCTTCCAGAACTTCATCATTGCACTTGAATAGTTTGACAGTTACATCTCCCCACTGCCCACGCTATAAATGAAAACTTATTCCTTAAACATGCAGGATGAGAAAGTAACCTCTTTCCATTCCCTTTCCCAGATTATCTCCTTTAGCATAGAGCCAGAGAGAATAACAGTGCTAAGTAGCAAACTGAGATGTCCTATGATGTCACCAAGAAACAGGGTAAATTCTTAGAAACCAACCTTACATTTTAAGAGTATACACAGTAATCATGCAACCTGTTGATTGTGGGAGTTGAGCACACACAGATCTGTTACACTCCTGCTCAGGGTATTTCCCTTTTTCTCTACCTCCCTCATATCTACCTTCTCTGTCTTTGGCAAACTGTGAAGGATTTCTCACCCCCACATTTATGCTAATCTGAACTCTTCTCAGAAGGTCAGATAATTTGTCTCAATACTTCTTACCCACACATTATAATTCTCCCGGATGAGTCCACAAATTAAAGTGATTTTTTTAATAGTGACATAGTTAAAACCATGCAATAAATTTATTTTCTAAAATCAATGAAGTGGGATAAAAATGTTTCCTAAACAGATATTGAATCCAACTGAACTGAACTTACTCGACCTAGTTTAAATCCCGACTGGAAGGTTTAAAATCTCCACTTAATGGATTCGATTCCAATTGATTCCTTTATATTTAAAAAATCGCAGTAGGAAAAAAATTCGTGACACTGGCTCACAAAAGATTTTCAAGTTGAGAACGACCTGGCTACTGGAACAGTTGAAGGTACAGTAATGCCTCTGAAAAAGCCCAGACTGTAGGATTAAGGCAGTGGAAGGTAACGTGGCTCCCCATACCCCGATGGAGACAGTCAGCCCTAATACACGCACCAGCTTGAGCCTTTCTTTGCCTTTGCCTCCGCATCCTTGTAGTGAGTCCCTACTTGGACTTTGGAGCTCCACACTGCAGCAGACAGAGTGGTTTGCCAGGCCACTGTGCAGTTTGAGGCCGGGTAGGGTGGGAGAAGTTCTCCCCAACAATCCTCAGCCCCCGGTCCGACGCACACAAGCCTCTGCACCCCATCACTCCGTGTGCTGTTACCGGTCTCTTCCCATCACTCAGACACTGCTCCAGAGGTGCTCTCTTTGACATATGCAGTCCAAGTCCCTTACTTTCTTAAGCAGGAACACTTCACAATAATATGAATCAACAATTCACATGAAGAACTTAAAATATATTATTTGGATGGTGCACAATTATATGTTTTTCCACTTACTCTCTACTAGTAAACAGGTGAGCTATTAGGAAGCATCTGAACTTTTCAAGCCACAAAAACACTATTTTTTGGTGAGTTCTTGTTGAAAAAGACACATTTTTAATGACAAGCACAAGCACGATTTAGTCTTTTAGGTTCTGACATTAAACTGTCTTCTGATTTGACGGATCCTAGGCCTCAACATAAAACAAACTTGCTCCTGGGAAATATACGTTAAGAATTCACAAGGTGTGCCATAAAAATACAAAAAAAGACTAGAGCTTCATCAAATAAAAGCACACAATCTGTGTCTTCCAGATGCATCGGATGTGCAATATTAACATAAGAGGGTCTATACAGGACTCACAAAGCTGTAATAAAAATAATTACTATGCCATTTTTATTCAAAGTCATCAAGGAATGGAAAATACAATTTTAAATTGAATGATAATAAAATATTCCCGGAAACAGTTTATAAATTGATCACCACATGAGAAGTGTTATCTTCAATCTTAACAATAATCTCAAAGTTATTGAGGTTTGAACTAGGGTGAACCATTAACATTAATAAAAGAATTAGCTATGACATAGATATCCATGAAGATTCTCTTTAGAATATCAGCTCAATTAAATTCAGGGTCACGGTCATATCATTTAAGACACATGGGTTTATTCATAAAGCCTTAAAATCATACCAAAAAAGCAAGCAATAACAACTGCAGCACTTTCCCCATTTCAAAGATGACGAAATTGAGAGTTAGAAAGGATATGGGGCTTGCCCAAGCTATAATAATTGAAACAGTTGAAAATGTAAACAGTCCTACTCTAAATTAAACTCTCAGTATTAAAATATTGATGTGTACTTATTGTTGAAGAGAAATATTAAAAATATGTAAATCTGTTTTTATAAAATAATTTAAACATACACTATTATTGGTGATATATATTATCTAAACAGCTGCAAAAGTTTTCTTCAAAACATGGCCTATTGTACTTGAATAGATTTCCTTCCAAATACCTACTGTAAATGCGTTAAATAAAATTTAAAATATGACATTTTAGCTAAATAACAGCTTTAAAACATATACTGTATAACTCCCCTAATCTACCTCTGTATTGTGAGAAAACGCAAACAGTAAATAAGAACTTCCAGGAAGATTTCAAATATCTTAAATCTCAATTTTTGATCTAGAATGCTAGGAAACTAATTGAAGTTGATATGCTGGGAATATCTACACTTGCAAGATGGTTGTTCACAACTCTTACTATTCTTTTGTGGAGTCAAGTTAGATCAGTTTCACAGAAACTTTGTACGCAATTAAAATCACTGCGCTTTTTGTTCCTTTTGGATGCTGAGAGAGAGTAAGCAATAGTGAACATGGAGGTCTACTAGGAAAAATAAGAAAAGCAAGTGAGAAATTCAGTTGTGGGGGCACATATGTTTACGCTTACAGACTAGTGACTTAACCAAGTTTTCCTCTATTAGCGAGTTTTTAAAAATCCTCTACAGCTAATATTTATTTAGTGAAATCCTATGAGACCAAAAACTTCTTCCAGTTCATTTGCCACACCTAATGACACATTGTACTTCCAAGTCCAAATGACAATGAATCCAGCAGAAAGATACCCACAATTAGAATGATCAACTCTTTCCTACGCATTGGGAATATATAGAGGCCAGGAAAGGAGCAAAAGTGCGGGCCAGAATGTGTAAAACATTCAGAAAATATCATTTAACATATTTTCCTACTTCATGAAAGCCTCTTATCTATAACCATTTCATAATCTGAAAACTAAATGAAATGTATTAATACTTGTATAGGTTCCACAGTAGTGCCTTTTACACAGCTTTCACAAACATAATTATCTTGATAATTAAGGTTAGTGGCAAACATCCTTATTGTCAATTACAGAAGAGAGAAAATAAGCATTTGTTTATATTTATATAACACTGATTAAAAACAATTCGCTATGACCATTAGTAATCCATTTCTAATTCATATTCCTCATGTCACACTTTTTTCCCTATATACATTTTAAATATCATAGGAATTTAGAAATTAATATTGCAATTTTTAATGCATAATCTAGAATTTTTTTAAAAAGTAGTTCTGAAACATACGAAAAAATGAGCATTGAGGAAACTAGTCCCTTCAAAGAAAATATTATATTTTATCACTAGAAATAGCAATCGCAAAAATATTTTCAAAGCACTTAAGTTCAATAAAGAATATGATGCTGGTGGACATTTCAGTTTTAATTTTAAAAAGAGATCATATTCTTTTTAACGTAAAGGAACCAGAAAACAACGTCTAAAAGTCTTCAGCCTGGGATTCTACAAAACTTCATTCCTCACTGATGCCATGGTTTTACAGCAGTGATTGTTTAAGAACTAGAAACAAACTTGTAAATATGAAAAAGTTTTTGATTTTTTTAAAAAAGCATCATTAGTGGTTTTTTTCTTCAAGTGAGTTTTAAAAGATTGAGATGGCCACCAGTTGATTCAAAGATCTTTTAATTTATGACATAATTATCAGCAAGTTAACTATCAAATATCATATAATTTAATCAGGAAGAAAAATTATGTGAAGTACACAAGAAGACAAAAATGGATAGTTTTGTAACACACTTCACTTTTTGGCTAATGAGACATTAGCTCTAAAATTTCGTATATTAAAGTGAATATTATGGTACTGAATTTGATTCTAAAGTGAATCTGACTGAAAATATACTACACAAAAATTACTTTAAAACTTGAACAGCATGCTGTGATATATTATTCCAAATGCTAACTGGTAGCATCTATGAGTGTTTTCTGTCAAACTTCCCTAACAGTGAAAGGTATTTAAGAGAAAAGCCACAAAGAATGTCTATGCCAGTCCCTATACCAGAAAGGCTTTCTAAATCATCTAGCACCATCAGTTGGTTCTGTTCTCAGTCAGCAATCTATCACTTAGTTACAGACAGAAAGGCTGCATAAAACACCTGAAACCTGTCGAAGACTTGCCCAGGTCCTTTTGAAGAGTAAGTTACTCATTGTTCTCTTAATAACTCCAGTTAACAATTTGTCTCATGAATGATGGAAACAGTTGGGGTTAAAATAATGTACTTCAAAATCAGCGTTTTTCCAGGAATAGGTTATCATACAACTCAGTTTGTCATTTTGTCTGGTTTTATATCCAAATGATAATCCACACAAATAAATTTTACATTTTGTCCTTAATCTTGCAAGGAAAAGAAGAAAAACTTTAGTTTCTTCATGACAGACGACTATTTTTAACTTGATTTCTTTTATAATAATGACACTACTTTTACAACCGTTAGCCTAAGGCCCAAGTGAATTGGGTTCTTCTGAGAAAACAAGAGCACTGCAAAATACTGTAGTAATGATAAAAGAATAATATAATAATTTTGCAAATTTCGGATTTATCACCAACACATGCCAACAAAATGCAGTGACAGTGAGCTGACTCACCTAAGTAATGGGAATTAAGGAGAATTCAGAAATGCAGCCGTCTGGTCACCAGCAGAGGTAATGGCCCCTTCCTTACCTACCACTGACCTTATATAAAAGCTGCAGCTTGGTTACTCCCCGTTTCTGACTCCTTACCTTAGGCTCCGCCCCAAACACGAAGGCGTGAAGTACCACGACTACACACCCATCGTCCACCAACACCGAGGGACCTGAGATTTCTGTTACCCTCTGCTGCCTCTACTTCCCTTAGGGTCCCAAGAGCAGCGGTCAGCGCCTGGCATGTGCAGGAGCCCACAATGCAGGGACTTCGCTTTTCTAACCCCGCGAGTGCGGCTTGGGGTAGGGGCTGCGCGCTCCATCCGCGGCTGCACGGAGGAACCCAGTCCCGGTCCCCAGCCCCACTGCCGGGCGCAGAGCCAGCACCACGCGTCAGCGCACCAAGGCTGGCCAGCCCCAAGCGCGGCCCTTGCTGAACGGCCCGGCGGTCTCCAAGCGGCGGTGGCCCCTGGGCTCTGGAGAGCGAATGGGATCTCCCCGTCAGCAGGGGCGCCGCGCGGCCTCGGGACGGACGCTCGCAGATCTGCGCTTCTCTGAGTCCGGACACTCAGCGCCAAAGTTCACCCGAGCTGCTCCCGACGCCTGCGCACCTCCGCCCGGGACGCGGAGGACCCTGTGTCCCCGGCTCCGCGCCCACCTGGCGCTCTCCCGAGGGGGACTGTCCTGGAAGCCGAGACTCACCGGCTCGAGCCCACTCGAGTCGGCACCTACCGCGGCTCCCTGTCTCCGCGCCTCGCGCGCTGCCCGCGCCCTCCGCCCCCGGTGCGCGCGCCAGTGAACGCGACCCTCTCAGCCCGGGACCCCTTCACCCGGCGACCCGCGACCCGTCAGTCCGGGTCCTCCTGGACCAAGACTCCGCCTCAGCCTCGGACCCCTCAGCCGAGTCCCCTTCTCCCCAGCCCTCATCCCTCGGGTTCCCAGTCAGTTCCATTCCCTCTGACTTGGCCCCGGCCCTCCGCGCGCCCCCTCCTTGAGTGTCCCCAGTCCCGCCAGCAGCCGGTCCCGAGCGTCGCGGGCACCCGGACTCTGACCTGCGGCCGCGGCGGCGTGGCGCCCCTCTCCGGTGTCTGCGCGGCCGATCCGAGCGCCCCAGGCGGCAGCTGCGGCTCGGGCTCGGGCTCCGAGTGCGGTGGGCCCCTCCTGCCCGCGGCCGGGCCGGGCCAGGCCGGGGCCGGGAGCTGGGGGCGGGCTCCGGGCGAGGGCGGGGGCGGGGGCGGGGGCGGGGGCGGGGGCTGCGGCGCGCGGCGGGGATAGAGCCGCCCGGGCTCGGCCGCCACCGGCGCACAGTAGGGCCCGCGGCGGGAGCCACCGACCTGCCGGCGTCCACTCTGTGCCCGGCGCTAGCTACCTGGTGTTTGCTCCTCGCCACCACCGCTGGGAAGCGGCCCAGAAAGGGACCCATTTCCGAGGAGGGACCCGAAGCTTAGGGGCATGCCCCGGGCCAGGGCCGGTCTGGGGAGAGCCGAGGTGTGGGGCTCCCTCTCGGCCAGAGTGGCTTGCCCTTCGCGGCCGCCGGCCAGCCTGTCTTCCCAAGATGTTCTTTCTAGTAACATTTTAAGAAAAATTTAAAGCATATTTTCGGGTCCCTCGGTTTTCTCTTCTGACCCGGTGGTGCTTCACACTTTCAGAGTTCCCTGCATTTGTAAGTTACGTGATTATTCACAGTCATTGAGTTTTAATCATTAAAAGCATTTCTTAAACTCATTAACAGAATTTCCTAAGTTTCTTACCAGTGTTTCTGACACCGAGGGACTCAGACACATGGGTGCGGACGGAGTAGGGACGTGGTACATGAGAGTTTTTTATGTGTTGGGTAGATAGTAACCGTTTCTTTTCCTGCCACGTTCTCCATCATAATCTGTCCAAAGCAGGTTGGCAGATGCGCGTTCAGAAAGCCGCTGGTCTCCTGGACTTGAAGCCCCTCTTTCCCTTTTTCCAGTCTTATTTCCGGAGCATCCTGTTCTGGGACCGACCCTCTTTGGGAAGGCAGCGATGCTTGAAGCCCCCGACTTCAGGAAGCTTATGGACTATGTGCTGGGGTGCTGCCCAGTCCTTCCTAGCTTCATTGTGGTTATCGCCCCTCTGGTACAGAAGGTCTTTGTTTGTGGTTGAAGCAACGTTTTGTGAGGATGGGTATCACAAGGGAAAAGATTCAGAGCTTAAGTCAATATATTCATTTCTTTCTCCCAACCCCTAAGATTAGACGCTAAGAGCCACAGATCTTACAGGGATCTCAAAGAAGACCATGTGACCACTGAAAGGCCATATCTTGGCCTGTGATTTAGGTAGGTTGACGTGGATCCACGGTCTACACTCAGGCGGAAGTGCTGTGTGCGTCCTACTTCTTGTTCATTCCAGAGTTCCAATCTGGTTTGTTTTCTTTCTTCCTTTCTTTTTCTTTTTCTTTTCTTTCTTTCTTCCTTTTATGAGACAGGTGTTGCTGTGTGGCCCAGGCTGGAATGCTGTGGCGCAATCACGGCTCACTTCAGCCTCGACTTCCCGGGCTCAAGGGATCCTTCCACCCCAGGCTCCCAAGTAACTGGGACTACAGGTGCACACCACCACGCCTGGACAATTTTTATTTTTATTTTTAGTAGAGACGGGGTCTTGATATGTTGCCCAGACTAGTCTGAAACTCCTGGGTTCAAGTGATCCTCCTGCCTCAGCTTGCCAAAGTGCTGGGATTACAGGCATGAGCCACTGTGCCCAGCCTGCTTTTTAAAATTGCAGCTTTATTGAGGAATAATTAATATAATGTAAAATTTAAATACCATTCAAGTAAAATGTACAATTCAGGCCAGGTATGGCGGCTCACACCTGTAATCCCAGCATTTTGGGAGGCCGAGGCAGGTGGATCACTTGAGGCTAGGAGTTTGAGACCAGCCTGGCCAACATGGTGAAACTACTTTTTACTTTGTCTTTTTGATTTTCTCTACTAAGAAATACAAAAATTAGCCAGGCGTAGTGGCACACGCCTGTAATCCCAGCTACTCAGGAGGCTGAGGCAGTAGAATTACTTGAACCTGGGAGGTGGAGGTTACAATGAACCGAGATTGCGTCACTGCACTCCAGCCTGGGTAATAGAGCAAGACTCCATCTCAAAAATAAATAAATAAATATAAAAATAAATAAAATGTACAATTCAATGAGTTTTAGTTTATTGACAGAGTTGTGCCATCATCACCAAATCTAACGTTAGAACATTTTTATCCCTCCAAAAAGGAACCTCCTCTCCATTAACAGTCATTCCACCAATCTTAGGTAGAGATAGAGATTTTCTCTCTCTCTAGATTTACCTATTCTGGACAATTCATATAAATGGAATTGTAGAATATGAAGTCGTTTGTGACTTTCTTCTTTCACTTAGCATAATATTTGTGAGGCTCATCCATGTTATAGCTTGTAGTAGTATTTCATTCCTTTTTATGGTCAATATTCCATTATATGGATATACCACATTATGTTTATTCATCCATGAATTGATGAATATTTACGTTGTTTCTGCTTTTATGGGCTATTATGATAATGCTGTTGTGAGCATTCATGTGCAAGGTTACTTGTGGACATATATTTTCATCTCTCTTGAGTATATACCTAGGGGCAGAATTGCAGGATCATAAGGTAACTCAGTGTTTTTGAGGAACTGTCAGTTTTCCAAAGTGGTCACACCATTTTACAATCCCACTAGCAATGTGTCAGGGTTCCAGTTTTTCCACATCCTTGTCAATACTTGTTATAGTCTTTTTTTATTTTAGCCAACTGAAAGGGTATGAAATGATATTTCATGGGGTTTTGTTTTGAGACAGGGTCTTGCTTTGTCACTCAGGCTGGAGTGCGTGGTGCAGTCATAGTTCACTGCAGATTCAAATTCCTGGGCTAAAGCAATCCTCCCATTTCAGCCTCCAAAGTGGCTGGGACTACAGGTGCATGCCACCACACCCAGCTAATTTTTGTGTTCTTTTGAAGAGACGGGGTCTCACTATGTTGCCTGGGCTGGTATCTCATTGTTTTGATTTGGATTGCCCTAGTGACTATCATGTTGAGCATCTTTTCATGTGTTCATAGGCCATTTATCTTTTTTGAAGAAAAGTCTACTTAAATCCTTTGCCTGTTTTTTAAATTGGATTATTTTTCTTTCTATTATTGCTTTGTAATAGTTACTTATTTATATATTCTATATACAAGTCTCTTATCAGATACATGATTTGCCAATATTTTCTCCCAGGCTATAAGTTGTCTTTTTACATTAAAAAAATTATTTATATTTATTTAAGCTAGGATCTCACTATGTTGCCTGGGCTGGTCTTGAACTTTAGGGCTCAAGTGACCTTCCTGCCTCAGCCTCCTGAATAGCTGGGATTATAGACAGATGCCACCATGCTCAGTTCGTTTTACTTTCTTGATGCTGTCATTTAAGTTTTTAATTTTGATGACATCCAGTTTACCTGTTTTTTCTTTTGGTATCATATCAGTGAGTAACCCAAAGTCATGAAATTTACTCCTAAGATTTATTTTAAGAATTTTATAGGTTTAGTTCTTACCTTTAGGTTTTCAATTGATGTTGAGTTAAATTTTGTATATGATGTGAGACAGGTGGCGATTTGTTTTTGGTGGGAAAAATTCCCATAATTCAATAACAGTGACTAAGGGGAAACCCACCGCAGTGAACTCATAAGTAGGGCAAAACTTTAGAGCTGAGCTGAATATTTTCTAAATTCCCTCTGGATCAAAAATTTTGTGATTTTCTTTTTAAGGAGACCTATGGGTAGTGAAGCCTATAAATGTAAGAGGTTAAGTAATGTAAACTGAAATAATATGTCTGTTTTTCAAATTGCAAGTCTCGATCTGTTAGTATGTTATTAAATAAATTTATTTGGTCATAATATTTTTTAGTCAAGCAAAAAGGACAGAAATAATCAGAACACACCTACTGTATTAAAGAAAATGCTGCTTCATAACTTTGTGTTATGTGTGTGTGTATTTGTATGTACCAGGAGTTGGTATAAAATGTGATTTTTACTATGGGCCATATCTTTTAAAGTTGGAAAAACACTGTATAAACTATAGTTGTAGAATTCTTTCTTTCCACATTTTATTAAGTGCTTATTTTGTGCCAGGCCCTCTCTAAGTACCGGGAATAAAATGATAAACAGCATATGATCCCCACACTGCAACTTCACCCATAGACAGTTCGATCCATACGGAGTTTCTAGAGACAAAAGACTGTGCCTGTTT